AAATTGCGGAATGGGCGTGTCGAACGGAGATGGAAAAGCGCCGACTGCTAATTGTCCCCGCTAGAGAGGGTTAAAAGTTCGGGCGGAGATTCAAAGCAAAATATAAAAAACTTGCAGTTTCCGCCGGAAGATGAACTGCGACTTCTCGCGCTGAATGTGTTTATGCAAAATTGGCGCCTGGAGAAAAATAAGGAAGAAAATAACGCTCCTGGGGGAAGAAAGAAAGCAAGATGCTGAATTTCAACTGAAAATTTATTCTTTAGCCGCGTTGTATAGTAATTAAGGCCTTTCCCTTATTTTTCAAGCATTTTTCTCCCCCGCCCGCTTTAATTTCATGGCGGCTGCGGCGCATATTGTTTATTATGGATTTCGGCGGGCCGAGAAATTTCCATCACAAAGGCCCCAGGCGCCGGCTGCTTTATTAAGGAAATTACATGCAAAAGCGGCGGGTTCGTGGGAAAGTTGCGCCAGAGAATGTTTAGCGTTGGGAAATTGCGGGTCCTAGCTGGGCCGGATCTCTGTGGTGTTTTGGCGAGAAATTTGTACTTCAAAGTTAGTCCTATGAGCAGATCAAAGGGGAGTACATCGGTTTTTCCGCACGCAAAGTTGAAGCGAACGTGGTGTTAACGTGTGCAGTCATTTTCCTCGTTTGCATTCGTCACGGGAACGAGCAAAGAAGATTTGCATAGCTAACTTGATTTGATTTTGTTAAAGGTTAAAATACGCTACCCCATAGGGAAGTATTTACATGTAAATGTGTTTTCCCAGGAAATTCAAAAGAAATACTTCTATTTAAGATTTTATTCCTGCAATTTTCACCAAAAAAACTTGAGTTTATGAAATTCTAACCAAAGAATTTTAATAATATCAAGGAAGCCTAAAATTTTTTATTAAATATTTAATAAAATTTTACCTTATGAGCATTATTATTATTATTATTATTATTGTTGTTGTTTATTTGTCCACATTGTTTGCATTCAATTGTTGAAACATTTAAAAGAAAAAAAATTAATTGTTGGATAAAAAGGCACCACAACAAGAAAGAATTTTGCTAAAAAACTTCCATGATCATAAAGACCCCATCCGCAAAAGTGAGCCTCGGTTAAATTTTTGCTCTGAAATTATCACTTTCTTCATTAAAACACATAGAAAGATTACAAATTTTTGTTGCTAATTTGACGAAGAATCCTTGTACAATTCGCTTAAATGTATGTTTTTTTTTTTTATAATTTTTACATGTTTTAAACAATAATTTTAATATCTTATCACTCTTTCCAGAGGTCAAATGACAAGCAATGAACTTGCCTGTAAAATTGACCTCAATTATTTTGGCATTGACCACTATGAAAAGCCAAAGTTTGATTGATGATTGCTCTTTGAGTCGGCAATATCATCTTCGACGGTCGCTGTGAAAAATGATCTCAAAATTTCCTTTCCACGGCGTCCAAGGGTCGTTCTCCGGCTTTGAGCGAACAATGACGTGGGCGAATTTCACGGGTGTGCGAGAATTTTTGCTCATTTGACAGCATTGAAGAGACCTCTGAAGACTTTTATTGTGACGCCCCGCGTGGGTCGGCGGCGGACTAAGGGGCAAAACGCTTTTCCGCCGCACTCGGCTATAAATAGTAGCGTTTGGTGTAAGCGTCTCCAAATTGCTGCTTCTCACTTTTGGGGGTGTCTCTGCATTGTTCTGCCGAAATGAGGGGCATTATATTCTTCATTAGTCTCGGCGCGCAACAGCACTAGAGAAGGAAAGATGATAAACGACTCCCAAGGGACCCTATATAAATTACAGTCGAAGAGAGAAAGAAAGAAAGAAAGCAAGAAAGTCGGAGGGAATTAAAACTTCTTCTGCCTACTACTTCCTTCCTGCGCGCGTGTATTTACTCCTACTTCTTCTCTTTTAATTAATACTCTCTGGCCAAATAAAAACGCGCCAAATTGCCGCTGACTGCGCCAAAATTAAAAGCCAGCCAATTTTCGCCTTTTTCGATTAAAAAGCGGCGCGCGCGGTTTTGCCAGCAATTTTTCATCGACCCAACAATTAATGCTAATTTTTCGCTAAACAAGCAAAAAACAGCCGGTCAGCGCGTTCGGGAAAAAAACGAGAGCGACCAATCAAGCGTGGATGTTTCATTCTTGTTGTTTGCCTCGCTCGCTCGCCCGCACGATCGCCGCATTTAAATGTGCCAATATTGGCAGACCCGTCAAATCAGCATATTTTAGCATTTTTCCATCTAGCAGCTAGGCCGCGGCCTGTTTGCCCCGCCGGGAAAATTTGCCCCCACGGCGGATTTGTCGCGTTTTATTCCATTTTTCGATCGACATATACCGCATCCGTCGCCTGCTTTTCAATCTGCATCCCTAACACATTTTTCGCCAGTGTGACGCTGTGTTATTCAGGGGTTTGTTGTGCCTGGCGAATAAAACACCCGAGTTAAAAAAAAATTGCATAAAATTTTTGCCATTATTGTAAAATTTCAAAGATACTTTTTTCTTCCCAAAAGGATAATACTAATTTTTATATAAAAAGGGTTCAAATAACTAATTAATTTTCATAAGGAAATAAAAAAGGAAAACTATGAGGGGGGGGGGGGGGTGTGCGTTTTTATTGAACAAGAGGTAAGAAATTTCCTAAATATTTGAGATAAAGTATCTTTTATTGGTAGAGAGCCCCGATGAAATATATAATATTTCAGCTCAAATATTATTAATTATAGTTTAATTATTACAGACTATTTTTGTGTCAAAACAATGGAGATTAAAAATGTACCAAAATAAAAATTAATTTTTAATAAGTTTTAATTTAAAAAGGGCGCAAACAAATTAACAAATAACGTTAAAGAGATGAGCTTCGTTACATTTTGATCAATTAGAGAATTGCACTTCACTTTCAGTTGTCAGCACTTTTGGTTGAACTTTTGATGTTCTTTGACGGAGAATGAACGCGACACAAAAAAAATTGGAGCTCCTCGTTTGAAGTGAAAGTCAAAGAGGGCGTTTGTCAATATATCGAGCCAAATCACTGCAAAAAGCCGCGTGCGAGCTTGACGTGCACAATAGCAGAGTCGAGTGCTTAGGCCGATGCAAATCAATAAACGACGACACGTCTTGTTCATCTGCGGCGTAATGAAGTTGTGCAAGGCGTGTATAAAAAGTGTCGCAGGTGCACACGGGCCAATCAAAAGGTAGAGCAGACGAACAATGCTGCAAGAAGCACATCAATCTTGCAGGGTGTCAAGGAGACATTGATCGCTTCATCCACCCCCCGGGGGGTGGAGTACCAGCGAGGTAAACTCGTTAATCTTGCGCCATGACAACTGCCGCTAATGCAGGCTAATAAAGAAAAAGTGTAATGTCTCTATCTCCCTGAGCGACTTCCATTTATTGCCTGTATGTACAACACCATTTATTCCAGTACACTACATTTATTCACGCGGATCGATGAGATTCGCCCGCAGGCAGCACACGCCGTTTTTCGGCTAATCAAGGAATCAGGGCGCGACAATTAATATCAATTAAGAAGGCAGTCACGCCAAGCTGCTGAGCTTTCTTAGTAATTTATGGTGGTGCTGGTGGCATGAGATTCTGCTCCATGACTTGTCCTTACAAGGTAGTTGGTATTTAAGCCTCGATTTTAAATTGGAACATGTAAAAAGGGAAGGAAAATATGGAAAATAAAAATGTATCATTGAAAGTTTATAAATTATTAGCAAGGATTAAATGAAAGTTCCTTTTCATTTTATTTGCTGTTTATAACAGAGCAAAAGTTAACAGGAAATTAAGTAGGAGAGGAAAGTTTATATTATCTTCAAAATATTTAAAACTAATTTTATATTTTAGCATTTTTTAAATGTGAAATTTAAGGCGAGGCTAGCGAAAAAACGGCGTGATAATATTTTTATGGTCATTTTCCTCTTTCAATTGGTAATTCAAAGTATACATAGAAAGAAAAATTGAATAAATTGGGAAAACTGAATTTGTGAAATCTAATATATTATTTCTTTTGGGAATTTTCCAAAATAATTTTTTCCTCCACAAAAAAATTGTTAAAAATTTCACCATATTATATCACCCCTTTTAAGATGGAAAAAATTAAATCAATAGGTCAGTTGACATGGTTCTTATTAGAAAAGGTTCAGAAGTTTTAATTACAATTTAGATATCATTTGCATAATTTAAAATGATTAAAGTGACAAGAAATTCAATTATGAAAATGTTTTATTTAATTATTGTTGTTTATTTGTCCACTTTGCCACAATTAATTTCTCTTCTCATCCAATTATGAGATTGACATGTAAAAAACATATGATCTCGTTTTGATTCTTCCTGAATCGAGCTTGTCATTCTGGAAGCTACGGAGAAAATTGGTATTGTAAGTGTGAAATGTGACGGGGATAATGCGATGCGTGATTGCATTGTTCGGCCTCACAATGCCCCTTGCCATTCTTCTTTGTGTCTGTCTCTGTATCTCGCTGTGACTGTTGCTGCTGGTGCGATAATGGGGGCCAATAATGGAGGATGTTTCAATCAGGCAGACCTTGACACTCTGGCCGGCTGCTGGCGTGCCATCTGGGTGTCAACACGGTTGCTTTCGGGTCAGCTCTCCTCTATAACCCACTCTGTTAAGACGCTCTCCACCGCCAAGCTGCAATAAAACCCGCCGCCACATTATGTATGTGTGCGACTCTCAGCGGCTCTCTCTCTTGTCGCGAGAGAGAGATAATTTTATTTACTGCCGACGACGCGCTCATAAATGCGACGAGCTCTCATTCTCTGAAGTCGTTTATCATAATTACAAAATTGTAAAAGGCCAGCGACGAGGAGCGAAGAGAGGCCCTGATTAAAATTTATGCCGCAAACCGCATTCTGGAAGTAAAGTGATTTTTTTTTTTTGGAAAGAGATAGTCAAGGAAAAGGAATTTTACAATTTATCCCACTTTCTAAAGCCTTGATTTTTTTTTTGTAAATGATCTTCAAATTGGAATTGTTTGTTGCAGGACGTGCTGGAGGGTTGCAAATTACAGACTTGAAAGTGCCACAGTTGGTCAAGAATGGCTCGGGGCGACCGCTCATCCTGGACTGCGAGTACACGTTGGCGCCTGAGGAGGAAGGTGCCGGCCTCGTGGTCAAGTGGTTTTTCAATTCGCAACCGGCTCCTGTCTACCAGTGGATCCCCGGAAAGAAGCCTCAGGTTGGTTCCTTTTTCTTTTTTTGAGGGAATGAATTGGAAGCGTTTTTAAAACATTATTGCAAGATTTAATGAACCTGACAATGAAGATAGATTTTCAATTGAAACTTTTACTGAATCAATCTGGAATTAATTTTTTTATTTTTAAATTTCCGCACATTTTTCAATAGTAAGAATTGTTTCCATTGTATGATTCAAATTTATCAATTTTCACCCGGCCAATTATATTTTTAACAGTGGCTGGTCTGTGCATAAATAAACATTTTAATTCAAATTCATTTTTTTTAAATTTATTTTATATCTTTTCTAATAATAATAATAAAACTCCAAAAAAATATTTAATCGTTTTTCACAAATTTTAATATAAAAAATTTAAAAGATTTAATGATGAGAAAATTTGTTTCACTTTAAATAAATGTAAATAAAATGGTTAAAACTAAAATTGTTTATTTTTCAAATACTAGGATTTGGGCATCTTGAAAGGGCGGCTGAACCTGGAGTACCAGGCGTCGAGCCACCCTTCGCAGGCGCACCGGGCCCTGCAGATCGTCAGCGCGACGAGCGAGCTCTCCGGGGAATACAAATGCTCCGTGTCCACTTTTCATGATGAAGACTTCATGGTCAAGCGGATGCTCATCTTCGGTGAGTAGCCGGAAAAAAAATTCTAGTGCCGTCCCCGAATTAGCCGCTCTCTCGGCCGTAAATTAGAGGCGAGGAAGAAATTGGCCCTCGTCTCTCTCTCTCTCGGCTTTGCCAATTACCTTCTCAGGCCGGGCAATCCAATTTCAATTATGTTACCTCTGATGCGCACCCCATACTTTTTTGCCACATCTGTCCGCGCGCGGTGATGAGTGGGTGGCCGCAAAGAACTTGTAATCCTGCCCAAAAATTAGGTTTCCGTCGAGTGGAAAGTTTCTTAGGGCGCACGACCGGTGCGTAGACGAACCGCATGGCGACATGAGTCGGGGAAAACTTTTTGAGTGCTTACATATTACTGAATGAGAAACAAAAAGTTGGGTAGAATAACTCTGACAAATTTTCATTTTTACTCCTTCGGGCCAGCATCAAATTAACTTTGAAGTGTTTTAACTCATGAAGTGTTCAATTAAAAATGTTTAAAATCTGTGATTTTCTTTTTTAAATTGGAGATAATTTTCGTCTTATTGCATTATAATTCAACTCTCAATTATATTTTATTTCACATCATGAAGGGAAATTAGAAGAAATTACACTAATGATCGATAAATATATAATTAACTTTTTTTCACAAAATATGTGTGTAAAGAAAATTTTGTTCGGATTTTCGAGGCATATAATTAATAGATTAAAAATTTATAATTTAAAATTTAGCAGCTTCCCAATTACATTACAATTCAATTTTATAGCATAATCTCAAACATATTATATCATACAAAAGTTATTATTTAATTCGAAAAGTGCATCTAGACATTTACTTTTTATTTGCTTGCCTCTCAGATATAAAATAAAACAGTGTTTATTTTATTTCTGAAGTACTTGCCCTTTTCATGCAAAGTGCAAAACACCGCACTGTTGTTCCGCATCGCATATGGCCTAGCCTGTTTTCAGTCTGCATTGTGTTTGTTTATATGAAAGAAATTCTCATGCATTGGCAGGGCGTGTGGGGAAATCCTCGGTCGACCCAAATAGTGCGAAATGCAGCCGATGTGAATGCTAAGAGTAAAAAGGCGAAAAGCAGGAGACGGAAGCGGGGTCTCTTAAACTCGGTTCAATTGTATATCCGCCGAGTTAGAAAGATTTTGTTGATGCGCGTCACGTGTCTGTGAATATCATAGCCGGCGAGAAAGGCCGAATGTACTGTACACACACATCAGCCACCAGCAGCCCTGCATGTTAAAATGCTGGTGGTTGAGAATGGAAATATCAAAAGGCCCCGCTCTCGCTCTGCCGGAGCCTTTCTTTCCCCGAAAACATCTCGCCCGATTGGCCTCAGCCGCATGAAATATGCATATCAAAGCAGCGATACTGCCGCTCATGTGCCGCGTTTATGCTTAAAATATCATTTAAGCCCCTGAAACATTTAAAACGTGCACGACAGACGAGATAAGCAAAGACCTCTAGCATTTTACGCCCGCCAACCAAGATGGCTGGCTCGGATTTTAAAGCTTACCTGCCGCCTAAACTCGCTCGTCCCGGCCAAAATCCTGCCAAATATTTCCCAAAGTCTTAAACTTTCTCAACTTTTTATGCCAAATTATCTAAATTCACTCAAATGTTCATCATTTTCTTTTTAAATTTCAAAATTTTCAGAGCTTAAGCAAAAGTCTTTATATAAATTTTTTACTATTTCGTTGGTACTGATTTGTCAAATAAAAATCAATAAAAAAATCTTTCATTAGTTTTTTTTAATTGAATAATAAAAACTTAAGAAATTGAAATGCCCATCATGAAAATAATTAAAAAAATTGTTATCAACAATTGAATGTATAAACAGTGTTGTCACAATTTTGATAATTCAACAACTCAATAAAAATTAAAATGGACATTTTGCTCAAACGGTATTAAAATTGAAATTTTCAAATTGAGACTATTTTTTTACTGGATGCAACATTTTATACAACAAATTTACACCTATTTTGTATTTCATATTTATTTTTCTTCTTCTTTCGTTAAGAATATTGAAGAATATTTAAAACAAAGACATTGAGCTTTTTTTATAAAATTCTCCTCTCCAGGGCTTTTTTTTTAATAAAACCTTTATATCGCATCAAGTTTAAAATTGCATTTTTATTCCCTATGAAAAGTAGCAGATTGCTTGGTGTATTAAAGGAAGTCAAACGTCTGACGGCATCTCACGGTGGCCTAGTTGCTTCAAAATGCATGTATGCAGGCGCATGCAAAAATAATGCAATTGCACAATAATAACGCCAACGGAGGTCTGCGCAAAAAAAGCGAGCAGATTGTCAGTCAGCCAGTCTTGAAAGCATGCACAAAGGCCGTGCCTGCAGTTATTTGTATTCTCGGCGTGGCTGCATCTTGAAATGGCCGACAACAATGCAAAAAATTCACCCGCCAGCAGACGGAGTGCATAAAGAGCTGCCGCAGTGAAATGTGGAGCAGCATTAGCCTCTCTGCACTCGCCGCTGCTGCTGCACTTATTTTTTATCCATTATATTCGCAACTGCAGAAAAGGTAATGATGTGATTATACTCGGGCTATTATGAACAGCGTCGGGTGCTCTGCGTCGTCTCTTATTCAACAATCGCTTTTGTCGGTCTCCAATTATATGCAGAGGCTTATTCCTCCTCACACCTTTATAGTGAACCATTCAATGCACTTCAGCAAATAGCTCGATTTAGTTCACTTCAAAGAACGGCTTATTTCATTTGAAAGGAGTTCTTTGCAGCTTATCGTGACGCCTTGAAGTGCAAGTTTGTGCAATTGCAATGTTATTTTCGCAAATAATTGTATTTATTGACAAACTGTCATAGCAAACATTTCAAACGTTTTAAGTTATATGTTAAATTGCAACCAGATAGCCCATATTCTTGTATCTGGTACTGTAAATAAATATTATAATTATTCTTTTTAAATCACTTAACATTCACCCTTTTTTAATTGCTGATTAAATGGTACGGTCACTGATAAATAATTATTTAAAATTATATTTAATAAAACATTTTATTAAATAAAAATAACGTTATTTTAAAAATTTATAAATTATTCTTTCTTAAATTTTGTTTTAATGTATTAAGTATTTATTTATATTTATAATGTGAACACCGCAACTAAAATTTTAAATGTTCAAATATTTCGTTGATGAATAATTGTTTAAAATAAATTTTTATTTGGTTCAAAAAAATTTACAATAATTTATAGAATTTAATAATAGGAAGTGGTACATGTAAATAAGAATAAGTAACCATTTGTTTACTTTTCGTATCAAAAAATTAAATCTCACCACCAGTTCTCTGAATGAGATTAATTTTTTGAGGCGGAGATATTCCCTCTTTTGGTTTCACTTTTTTTCATCAGTACATAATATAAATTCCAATTCAATTTCGGCTCAAGGCATTATGAATCGTGCGGTAAATGGATAAATCACGTCGGCCGAAATTACAATTTTAATATTCAGAAAGGCAGCCGGCGGTGGCTTTCTCCAGCAGCAGCCAGCCGCACAAAAGGATATCTCTCTCGTTTCCCAGAAAAGCAGATCGATATAGAAAAGAGAGGCTCCGCCGCCGCCGCCGCCGCCGCTCGTCCTGGTGTGATGCAAGAAGTTTTAATACAAAATCTCATCATAATACTTTGAATTGGAAATATCGCTCGTGTCGGTTCAGAGATCTATCATTCAATATAGCGGTTTCGAATACAAGCGCGCACTTCTTCTTTCAGTCCCACCAGAGACGCACGTTTGCTGGGAGAAAAGAAGTAAAAGCGAAATACACACAAAACATACAACGCAAAAAACGTCGCTCATTTCGTATGCAGCCTAAGCACAGAACTTGAGCTCCTTTCAACCAAACTTTTTATATGTAAAATTTTGTGTTATTGAAATGAAGAAGAAAAAATAATGGTAAATTCGCCTGGGGAAATACATGCTCTGGCAAAAATTATTTTCATTCCCATTTTATATTATTTATTCGCGATGCAGCTTGCTCGGAGAGTGCAGCTCGATATGTATTCATGAAGCAATGCATCACTCGACACTTTTAAAACGACACCTCCGTAATGAATATGCGCTGCTCGGTCAACCAGCAGCTTTGCAGAAATACATTCATGATATCAACGTACGTGCAGGAAAATTCAAATTTATAAAACGGGAACATGCATATCCATCGGCATTTTTGCATTGCTGATCATTTTCAAACAATAAAAGTTGATAAAAGCTTGGCTTGGATAATTAAATAGAAGGAAATCTTTTGAAGAGGAGAGAAATACTAGATTTTTATAATTGAATACACTGCATTTAAAAAAAGCGATTCTAAGAAGAAGAAAATTTGGAATTCGTACGGAACTGCACATTTATTCTTTTACTGAATCTCTGTATTTTTCTTGCTCTTGAAGAAATGAGGTCATGTTTTGCTATTATACAAAATTTTCAATGCTGATATTTTTCTATTACAAAAAAGACCTAGGAAATCGCACGCATGCTCAAATAACTTCCTTGCTCTTGATAAAAAAATTTTAATTAAACCTCTATACATCTAAATCAGTAAATTTTAATAAATATTTAAAAACAAAATGTAAAACTTCGTCTACTGCTAATTTTTATTTTATTTTTAGTTCTGAAAGGTAGGAAAATTTAAAAATATAAAAGGTTGTATAAAATTTACATCTTCAAATTTCTTAAATTCATTTAAATATCACATTTAAAACCTGAAAATTCCCCAAAATTAATAGGCTGCAAACCTTATAATTATAAAAGCTATTTTAGAACCCCAAAATTGCACACTCTGCCATTTCATAAAACGAACACCCGTGTTCTGAGAGCTTTTAATTAAATAATTTGAGGATAAACATCACGCAGAGTCGGTGGTTCGCATCCACAAACGTTTCGCAGCCTAATTTCCTCCCTCCATCTCGTCGGTGGCTTACAAATTGCCTGGAAGAATTATTGCCAGTCACGCTTTTAACCCTCAAAATGAAATTACATATATTTC